AAATGAATGCAGGTTTAAAATCAGACTTTAAGCAAAGTAAAAAAGATTAAAAAAAAACTTTGTTGCTAAGCACTCATCACACCTGTCAATCAAAGATCATGTCTTTGTCTTTCCTCCGAGGGTTTACACGGCTAAATAAACATACTGATGTGGAAGTCCATGCACACAGATGTAAGGGAACTTGGCATCAAGAACGTTGTTCATCAAAATTAGTTATTTTGAATGGAGACATTTTATACAACACCAGAGATGTATTCATTCATTCATTCATTTTTCATTATGTTTTGCAACATTTTTGAAGTAATGTTATGTGCATTATCTAAAGCTTAAAAGGCACACGTCTACATCAATTTATCTTTTAGCATATTACCCTGTGGGGCCTCAGTGCTTCTGAACTACACTTTGTTTTGCAGTGGTGTACATTTATTAAGTGCCTTTTACTCAGGTACAATTTTGAGGTGCTTGAACTTTAGAGTATTTCAATTATGTTACTTTATACTTCTACTCCACTACATTTCAGAGGGAAATATTGTACTTGCTACCATTTAATCTGACAAGTATTGTTAATGTTGTAGTAATGTTGTAGATTATGATTTTACACACATGTCGCAATGCAAAAGAGATCATAATACATCCCACAATATAATATGAATTTATATAACTCTGGCAACACTGAATACTTCTTCCAGCACTGATTTTTTTAATCTAAAAACTAAAAGCAACATTACGTTTCCTGAGAGGAATGAGTCACTCACCATCCTTGCTTTTAGGAAAACATAGAACATGTCACTCATCATTAACACGGTGTGTTTTTGCTAATAGTCGATGCCCACAGTTTCTACGCTCCTCCTGTTTCAAAGTGTGACAGTGAATAGTGACCTCAGCAGAATGTGGCTGATTCTTGGACCAATAACAAGTCATCTGAGATAATGACAGTGCCATTTGATGAATGGGTCTGTTTTTAGGGAGGCAGACATCCACTGGGGAGTCGGCCTTGGGCAAACACAAAATCCCTCAGGTCACAAAAGCAGATGGATGGAGTGCAGTTCTCTGTCACTTTTATCGCTTAACTACTTGTCCCTGGATTAATAAATCTAGAGTCATGACTGAAAGCTCCAGGCTCACACCACCAGCAGCTACCATGCACCTTTATGTAACCTTGACTTAACCTCTTCATGACTCCGCCTTGACTAAACACATTTTCATAAACGATGCTGGAGAGGAAAAGTAAGGGGCGATTTACTTTGCTCTTTCCTCACGGTGGTTCTCTAAGACTCCACCATCTCATGAAGCATAAAGGACAGCGGGGTTTTGCAGAGAAAATGTCTCGCACATTCACACCAAATTGATTTCATTCAGAGGTTTATGTTCTCTCAGTGCACACCACCAGCTCATTGAAAAGTAATAAATTCTGATGAGACAGGGCTGTTCGCATATGAAACAGGGAGCTAGGCCCAAATTTAAATCAACTCCTCTCGCAGCATATTTTTTACCAACCTATTCTCTGTCTGGCAGTGGACTGGAGGAGATTCATTTACAGCAGTCTGAGAAAATAACAGCAACTTATGTTTCCCCTCCTCAGCCTCAGCTAGTTAAATAATCAAACACACCTATACGGTCTCAGCCATCTGAGAGATACACTCCTAAAGACACCCTGCTGCTTCCACCGGACACAATGGTGTTTTCTTCAATGTTTTACAAAAATGCAACAGAAACGTTGCCTGTACGCCGCTTGTGGTGAAGTGGTACTGATGGTAATTGCAAAAAGAAAGAAAATGAAGGAGAAACGTATGTGAGAAGTTGAAGTAAGGGGAGGAAGAAGGTACAGATTATTATCACATTGTTAGTGATGCTCATGATAAAGATGATGCATGATGATGTTTAGTTGACTATCCCTCCCAGAAAAAGGAAAAATGACAGCATTGCACAAATGCCTAAAACATCTTGTGTTTTCCATATAAGTGACCTCTTGCAGTCATGCAAATAATTATTTTCTTTCTCACTAGCAAGGGCAGCAGAAGTATGACATTGTTATAGTGCCACACATAACTTAGAAAGGGGTCAGAGCGAAAGACTGCACATACAAAAGCATATGACATTTACACTGGAGGCTATGCAGCTGTCATCACCGTTTGTTTGTTTTTAAACCATGAACAAAATGTTTCCTTTAAACTTCAGAGTTCTAGTTGCCTGAACTTAAAAAAAAAGGAGCACTGTGAAGGATTTAGTGGCATCTAGTGGTCAGATTGTAATCAACTGATTAGCCCTCCAAGCCCTTTCCAAGCCTGGCCTTCAGGAAACGAAAACATGTGAAAAGGCCCTCTAGAGCCAGTGTTTGGTTTGGCTGTTCTGGGCTTCTGTAGAAATAAGACGGAAGAGGACCCACTCCCAATGTAGATATGAAAGCCTCTTCCTAATCTAACAAAAACACAACAATTCAGGTGATAATACACTACTGAAACCACAAAAGTGAATATTATATTCCATGCCAATGGATACCCTTAAACGCTACGCACTACTCCTTTAACCAAACCTTAACCAGGAGCGGTGGATCGAACCTCTTGCTTATATGAACAGCCGTGTGTTGTGTTGTACCTCTAGACTTGGTTTAGGTTTACAGTGAAGTTAGGGCTGCAGTAAGGCAAGTAATTGTCATGGTATTTTGTGGGGTGGTTCAACAGCATCTAAAAATCCTCTCCATGAGTTACAAGCTCTCTCTCAAGATCTCTTTAAATTTTTCACAGTTACTCATGTAAAGTTTTGTGTATATGTTTGCCGTTATCCCCATTTGAGCGATTCATGGCTTCTGACCCCTTTCCCTATGACAGGAGGCTTCAACATGTTCAAAACAGCTATCACGTCTTCTTTTTGCCTAGTTTGTAGGACGCGTTATTCAACAACGCCAGATATCAATAGTGTCTATAGCCATTTTGAATAGCCACACCCATAGAGAGAAGTGAGACACAATTTTTTAAATATGGGAATAACTTTTGGAGGTTGTTCATATAGTGTTATTTGTACACATAAAAAGCTGAAACGCACTGGGAAAGAAGAGCTGAGGAGAAGTTGCCTTTACTCTCTCACCTCTACACAGCAAGTGTCAGAGAGGAAAGGACATGCACTATGGTAACGGGCAAAAGAGAGAGAGAGAGTATCGCTGAAGATGATGAATGTGACAATGACAGAAACCTCCTGTCCTTCATGTACAAAGCAGGATAAATGATATGATAGGTCTTTACTGAGCTGAAACCCGTTCATTGCTAAGGAGGCATAATCTGGACATAAGACAGGTTGTTAAGTGGATGATAAAGTCTCTGATGACTGCGGTTACAATGTGCTGAAAAATATATGAACCACAGTGGAGCGATACAGTCAATTTCAGTTTTTTTTTTAATTCGTCTCTCTATTGTCGTGACTGAGCCTACAGACAATGTACCCATTTCATCTGGATTTGGGTCACTTTCATTCCATACTAACAATACCACTTTTTTCCCCCCGTTATAGCTGTTGTCTACCCAAACAATCAATACAGTTAAGAAACCACAATGTCAATGTATACATTCCTCTTTTCTACCCTCCACATCCAGCACCACCAATCTGTGTGCGAAAAGGTTTAGTGATATTTTTTGTCAATCCGTCTACAGGGATGTCGCCTTAAAAGATGGCCTTATTTACAGCGTATTCCCAAGAGAGTAGAACCTTACAGTGGGGAGGAAGGTCATCACATTGTAGCGGGCTACTACTTTAAGAATGCAGCGACTAGAACTATGCATTAAAACCTCAGAGAGGAAAATAACAGCATGCCCTCAGGGACTGCAGGGGAAAAGAGATTCATCTATTTCTCACACTTGTTGCAGGGTAAATTCTCTCATTCCTTTAAATCTGGTTTCTCAAGCAACCATTAAAGAAGCAACTTTTTCAGTGAGTTCACTTCTGAAATCATCCCTTTGCCTAACAACACACTTTTTAGGATCTTTTCTGAAACCTGTTCTGAGTAAAACTGGAGCCGAAGAAGTGGCAGCAGCATCCTGTGCAGCTCCCTCACATCTCCACAAAAAAAACAGTTTCTCCTTTATCTCATGAGGAAACATCAAATGCTGGAGAAAAGCTAAAATAAGAACACAACTTGTGGGTTTCGCTGTTTCTTAAAACTTGACGTTCGTAAATCCCCTGAGGATGTGAGCTCCCTTTCAACAAGACCCGAGGTGGTCGGATCAGACCCAGCAAACTATTTAATTCGCCAAATTCACAGAATAAACAGCACGAGCTACAGTGATTCTTCACAAACTGGAGAAAAGGGTCGCAGCACGGATCAGGATCGACTTCCCTGTTTAATGCTGCATGTGTTTATTTAGAAAAGTAAAAGGTAAGACCGCTTACAAAAAAACAACATTGCAGGCAGATTCCTTGACTTTCTTTTTAGGAAAAGGCATTAGCTGGAAACAATTAGTCCTTTAAACGTATATTGAACTGTTTGATGAAGCAAAAGTATACCAAAGTGGCAGCAATGTGAAGATTTGCTGCTGTTCTCCGATTCAAATCATTGTTAACTGAAGATCTTTGGGTGTTTTGGACTGCTCGTCAGACACATTTTTGAGGGCGTCATCTTGGACTTTGGGAAACGGACATTTTATAGATTAGGCCAAGTCTATTGATTATTGGAGAAAATAATCAGCAGATCAATCAATAATGAAAATAATCCCTAATCGCAGCCGAATAGTTATCAGCGTTTGGATTCTCTTGATTAACCAATATATGCAGACATATTTCAATTATTTTAATTCATTCTAGCGTCATGAAAAGTAGTCCTTATCATGTTTGACCAATTTTCGAGACAAAAGAAGAAGGAAAACACTTTAATATTCTTAATGCACTTGTTTTGTCGTAAAGTTTAAAGTCTCATCAAGCATCCAAATACATTATATCGCCTCATTGTCGAGTGATGTCTTAATGGTCCCTTTTAAACAAAACAACGCACTCAACAGCAGGAAGCCGCTCACCTTCTCCACCTGTCCCACAGGAGCCGAGCAGCAGCGAGGCGACCAGCGCAGTAATCCCAGCGAGTCTTTCACTCCCCAAAGGCATGTTGAAGCGACGGGATGCGGCAGAGTATTATCCCACTAGTCGGAGGGGAGACCGTCTGTCCGCCGTCCGCCTCCTCCGCTTCTCTCCTCTGCTCCGCTGCGCTGCAGTAGCCCTGCTGCCACAATGTGGAGGGGCCGGCCGGTACCCAGTCTGTGTGTGTGTGTGTGTGTGTGGGGGGGGGGGGGGGGGGGGGGGGACAGGGGGGGGAAAAGGGGGGGCGAAAAAGGGAGGGGGGGGGTTTTTTTTTTTTTTTTTTTTACTGTTGCAGGTCCCAGTCCGGTGCACCGCCTCCAATGCTGAGATCATGAAGAAACTCCGAGTTCGCAGGACTGTTTTCACTGAAGTACAGAGAGAGCATGTGGCTATAGTTGCCGTTTAACTCTGAATGTAGTTGTGGGTCATCTCAACCATCTAAATGCAATACAAATCTCACATTTCTTTGCATGAGACCAGAGAAACCTATTATGAGATCATGGGTCCCTGGGCACAGTCATGTAAATGCCCCCCCTCCTAAACAGAAGCAAGACATCCAGACAGTGCTGGTTTAGAGTCTATTTGTAGTCGTTTTACATCCCTGTTTTGCAGGTGAAGCCCAGCCCCTGGGCCCTTTGTTAATCCATCTATGGATAAACTCAAAATGTTTTATCTAGCTTTTCAAACTAACAAGTCACTTTTCAAACATGAATTTTAAATAAGCACAGAAGCACAAAAAGCTGTATTAAAAAAAAATAGACATTAGCCTATATCCCTGACAGGTCAGTAGTGCAAGTACCCTGCATTTCCTCCAATGAAAGGTCATGTTCACAAATTTCCAGGGATGTTGTTAAGCTGCTCTTTAAAAAAATAAATAAAATAACAATTCCTCTATATTATCTGCCTTTTTATAGAATTCAGGGGAAAAAAGGGAGACAGGAAGGCTGATTTAAGGACACAGTGAAGGCTGGATTTGACACAGAGACCTCACACCTCCAGCCAAAGAAAGACACCTTTTGACAACGAAAGAAAGTGTCACCTCTGAGCTCCTCCACACGCAGCCTATACCAAAGTCTGATTTGAATTTGGATGTTTGGCAGAAAGTACCAAAACATGTATTATGCATGTTCTTTTTCAACACTTGAATTTAAAAATAAGATGCCCATCAATCAACCAATCAACATGAATCCTTTGGGACCACACATAGGCCTGCACAAGACACCGCAAACTTCAAATGAACACCCACAAATGTGAGTCATCCACAAATACCTCCGGGCTGACCTTCTAGCCAGGAAAAAATAGCAGAGGGGCTTCCGTTTTTCCCGGTGAAGGTCAGTGGGAGCGGCAGCAGCTTAGCCTTGCTAGTGTTCACCTACACAACCTCTGATCCTTGCTCGCAACGGTACGCCGCTTCCTATCAAGGTCATGTGTTGCAGTGCTGCCAGCAGTCTCTCTTTGACGAGGGTCTTATTACAGGTACAATACAAAATAAATGGATTTTTCACCTCCAGGGCAAAATCTTCAGTCAGACATTAGGGGAAACCGGGTTGGGGTTGTAGGTTCTGACGACAAGTGACAATGAAACTCAAATTATCCTCCAGCCTGTTACACTGACAAACAACGACCAGATGTGCTCATGTACAGCGGCAACACACTGGTTTATATTTAACATCTGCAACAGCGATGCTGTAACTTCAACTGGCTTCGTCATAGGCCAAGAGGCAGGAGGAGTTCAAATCAGTTTAACACTGAATACTGAGCGTTCGTATAGCTTTTGGAGGAATTTCATTACCGTTTATAAAAACTGGAGGGACAAATTTCCATTTTTCATATTCTTGGGGGGTGGGGGGGCGATACCACCATCCCCAGCAGCAATTTCACACTTGTTCCACTGTACGTCAGATGTGATAAGTTATGCTTTTTACACATAAATCCAAACATCACATCTCAGATCACATGCACAAGTGTTTGTTATTTTCTTTCTACAGAGTTTCGTACTTAAAAAACATCTACTCTGTATTAATAGCTGCTTAGCTGTAATTAGTCTTTGCTAAAGAGATCATCTCGTTGCACAGCTACACTGTAAAAAGTTGGGGACAAAATCTACAGTCCTCATAAGGATTGGCCTGGTGGTGGATGAAGGAAACATGGAGGCAAACCTTAACCCGTACCCTAACCCCGGGGCACTTGCCCCTCTGGCCTGGTCCATAATCCAGCTATGACTCCTGGGGAGCTTCGATCATGGATGTGGAAGCAAATTACTGATCCATTAACCTCTCAAAAGTACGAAGTATCGAGGCAAAATGATGCCTCACTTCACCAATGCAAAAAAAAAATCACGTGACCTTTCATATAATACCTCATTACGTCACACTCGTATCAGAGAGGGATTGCGCTAGTTTTGAATACAGGATGTTTTAGTCAGTCGGCCTCAGTATTTAAAAATAAAGCTGCTTAAAAGGGATCAGTTTTATCGAACAAACCAATGAAAGCAGAAGCACTTTTATTTTGGCTGTCTCATCGTGGTCTCAGATTGAATCCATCCACACAAGTGTAATACCAAGAGCTTGGCCAGCAGTTGTTGCCATTTTTGATTGTCACAAATGCTTCAACAACAGTTGACAATTTTCCAAACTTCACAGTGATTTAGTGCTTCAGAAAGCTTAAAGACTAAATGCTGTAGTCTAGGCAAACAGGAAGAGTTCAAGGATTTATTGACAAAATGAAAACACAAAAACATACTGGTATGGGTCGGTAGTCCGAACAGCAGTAACTGATAATCCACAGGGGAACAGGAACAGTGCAGGCAGCCACAGAGGAAAGCAAGGCACTACATAACATTGACAATCTGACCGGGAATGAGTGGAAATGAGTTTGTTGTACACAGCAGGGCTGATGAGGGATAAGTGGAAACAGTTGAGCAGGTGGAAGTGAGAGTCAGGTGATTGGGACAGGTGGGAGAGTGTGGGGCCATCCAGTGGATAGATGGAGAATGGCAATACAGGGGCCAGAAGTGGCTGGTGAGAGGGACAGAGGAGCAAAAACAACTGAGACAGACATTGTGACAATTGAAGTTAATTTGATGAAGCAGCTGTCTGAATTGGCCAAATCGAATGAGTGTCTTTCAAAGTTACACAGTTTATTGATTATTTGTGTTTTCACAAACAGTGCATCCTTGTGGGATCGGTGCTGTTAGTTGCATTGCTGGGAGAAAACACCAAAAGTAAACACAACTACCAGGAAAAAGGTTTTAAACTGTTGTTAAAGGCTTGATTAAATGTAGGCAATCAAAACTACTTTGTCAAGGTTCTGGAAAGTTAGAGGTTCACTAAAGGACACCAACGATGACTGTTGGTAGGAGGTGAGTTGCAAACTGCAGCTTCGGTGTTAAAACCCAAGAACCGAAACCAAGACACTCCAAACCTCCCCCGTTAAAGGCTTTTAGGCGGGACAACGGCATCCCACCACTTCAGCCTATGATTCTAAGAGAGGACAGTCATTATTCGCAAGCCGACAGGAGGTCGCTCGTCAGAAAAACCTAAACTTTGGTTGTTTTATTAAAAACATTTAAAATTCAACTTGTTATTTTCTCATGTGTATGGTCTCATTGTAACACGGTGTGTTGAACACAAAAGGACTTACAGTGAATGATAGGTACTATTCAGAACGAGAAAACTCATTGCACCACCTTTTAAATGGCATTATGTTTCTGAAATGTGGAGGAGTTTACATTTTGAAGAATGAGGGAATCCATCACAGCCTCACCTCACCTACAAAATAAGCGTACTGTGGAGAAAGTAAAGAGATTTACATATGATTTGCATGGTCATACAGGTGCAAAGAGGCTTATTTTGGCATAAATCCACTCTGCAGGGCTCCAATTTCCTGCTCTACTGTACCCCACAAATGAGCACTAACAAGACTTTAGTGGTGAGCCAGCAATGAGCAGCACAGCGCCCGGTTCATTTCCCCACTGATACAGTGTACTGCCAACACTGATGAAGCTGCTGCATGATCATATTCAACAGAGCATGCACAGTTAGGAAAGATAGCTAGCAGCAGAAATGAGAGTAGGCACCTGTTCATATGCAGCAAAGGAGGGACTGTGAAGAGGATGTGTGTTTCCTTTCACCTGTTTTTTTATTTTTTACCGATAAAAACTGGTGAATGGAACCCATAGACTGTATGATGGAAATGCTGAAGATGTAAATACATGGAATTTGACTCCGGTTTTCACTTTGGTCTCAACGTACATACACAAGTTTACAAATAAACAAGAAAAATATAAAATAATAAAACAAGGACAACAAAATGTGTAGAACAGATGTAAGTATAAACATTTAACGACTATGTACAATATAAATATAAATCCAAAAGTGTATATATATATAAACATAAACCTATACAACAACAACAGTGGAATGGAGGTAGTAGTGCAGTATGTCTGATTAATTGTTCATGAGAGTGACGGCCAGCGGAAAGAAGCTGTTCCTGTGTCTGGTGGTTTTGGCGTACAGAGCTCTGTAGCGCCTACCAGAGGGGAGGAGTTGGAACAGCTTGTGTCCAGGGTGTGAAGGGTCTGCAGTGATCTTTCCAGCCCGTTTCCTGACTCTGGAGGTGTACAGTGTTGGGGAGCTCCTCTTGAAGTCCACTGTCATCTCTACAGTTTTGAGCTTGTTTAGCTCCAGGTTGTTCTGACCACACCAGAGGACCAGCTGTTCAACCTCCTGTTTGTACGCAGACTCATCACCGTCCCTGATGAGGCCGATGACCGTTGTGTCGTCTGCGAACTTCAGGAGTTTAACAGACGGGTCCTCTGAGGTGCAGTCGTTGGTGTAGAGGGAGAAGAGCAGTGGGAGAGCACACATCCCTGGGGGGCGCCAGTGCTGATGAGTCATTATCTAATGCCAAGTTTTAGTGAGTTTAATAGAAATTGACAGAGGCTAATATAAATGAGTAAAATAAACACCTAAATCTTAATTTTGGATGTTTTCTTTCTCTAGTTTGAAAGAAGACATATTATGGAAGCAAAACAGCCCCAAATCTAAAAATTGACCAGTGCATAAAAAAGCAAGGTTTTGGCCTGGGGTGTCTCCCCCTTAAGTACCTTTAAGTAAATAATTCAGACAAATCAAGTAGAGTTCAATATGGTATGGGTTCACTGCAAAATC